AAAAAAAAAAAAAACACAAAAAACTTTCCTTAACTTTTTACAAAAGTGGCCTCATAGATTTGTCTTTTTGTGATTGTAGCATAGTGGTTACGAATCGGGCTGCAAACCTAAAGGTCAGCGGTTCGAAACTACCAGCTGCTCCGCGGGAGAAAGATGAGGCTTTCTACTCCCGTAAGGATTTACACCCTTGGAAACCCTATACAGGGTTGCTATGGGTCGGAACCGACTCAATGGCACATAACAACAACAACAACAATTTCACTCAGCATAATGTCCTCCAGGTTCATCCATATTGTGAGGTGTCTTGTGGTTTCAAAGTGTTTTGCTCTTAGATTTGTCCAACTCTTCATCATGGATGAAGGCATGAGGTCTTAGCCTTCGTTTTATTATTGGAAATGCTGATTTCCTCTTTAACCTGCTCCCTTGTCTGGTTGGTGTTGTGAAGTGCTGCCAAGTCGGTTCCGACTCTTAGTGATCCTGTACAAAGCTGGTGGCTTTGTACCGCCGACCTTGTGGTTAGCAGTCCAGTGCTGATTCTGCTCCACACCAGAACCCCAGTCTAGGGGCACAAATTAAATTGGCCTTTTGGATCTTTAAGGTTCTACCATGCAAGTCCAGATGTATCTTTCCTTCCTTATTTTAGTTTCTTCTCCTCCTTCCTCCTTCTCCTCTGTTTTATTTTTCTTCTGTGAAGCAGTGCATTGGGGACTCTGAGGTTGTGAAAAATGCTCTCTGGGCTGGGCCACTGGTTGGAGATACTGGGTCAATGTTATTGTTGTTGTGTGCCATTGAGTCGGTTCCAACTCATAGTGACCCTGTATAGGGTTTCTGAAAGCAGCCCGTGGTTTTAAACTGTTGACTTTGTGGTTACCAATCCAGTGCTTATCCTACAGCACCACACCAGGGCTCAGGTGGATGCCAGGGGATATATTTTGGGATTGGTAGGGTGGAGAATCCCAAGTATAAATGTATTTTCCCAAAAGCGAACAATTAAGTTCACAAAGTTTTCAAGGCTCATTCATATTTCAGCACCTGTCAGTATCTCATTTCTTTTTATGGATACCATTATTATAAGGAGCTCTGGTAGTGTAGTGGTTATGAATCAGGCTGCAAACCGCAAGGTCAGCAGTTTGAAACTACCAGCTGTTCCGTGGGAGAAAGATGAGGCGTTCTGCTCCCGTAAAGATTTACAGCTTCGGAAACCCTGTACAGAGTCGCTATGAGTCAGAACCGACTCCACGGCACACAGCCACCACCACCAATATTATTGTATTTTATCTATCCATTCATTGGTTGATGTACATTTGGATTGTTGCCACCTTTTGACTTTTGCGTAGAGTGCTGGTAGAATCATTCCATTCATGCACAATTATATTGGTTGAGTACCTGCTTTCAGTTATTTTGGATGTATACCTAGTCGTCTACCTGTCAGTTTGTTGTTCTGTGGTGGCTTGCGTGTTGCTGTGATTCTGGAAGTTATGCCATGGGTATTTTAAATGCCAGCAGGGCTACCCATGGTGGACAATCTGAGCTTTCAGACTAAGACAGGCTAGGAAGGAGAGATGGACTACTTCTGAACATTTAGTCGCTGAAAACCTTATGAATACCAGTGGAACACTGTCAGCACCAGTGTATTGAATACTGATACACGATGAAGAACACGAGAATACTGTCAGATCAAGCTCTGGAAAATGAGCCCCTCAGATTGGAAGACACTCAAAGTGCCTCTGGGGCAGAGCTGCCTCCTCAAAGTAGAGTTGACCGTGATGATGGGAATGGAGTAAAGCTTTCAGGACCCTCATTTGCTAATGGGGCTCAACTCAAAATGAGGAGAAACAGCTGCAAACATTCATTAAAAATTGGAACATGGACTGTAGGAAGTATGAATTTAGGAAAATTGACTGGATTGGCCCGATGTGATGGCACACAGCGGCAACGAAGCTGCCGTCACATCTTTCTCCTGGGTTCGAACCGCATACCTTTAGTCAGCAGCCGAGTGCTTAGCTTTTGAGCCATGAGGACCCCTCTTCTCTCATTCTAGGAAGCAGAAAAGGCAGCCCCCAGAATTAATTCCAGACTCCTTTATTGGGGGGTTATGCCACATTTAACCAAGTGATTCCACAAGACGGTGGAGAGGGTATTTCTAAAGGTCATTCTCTGAGCTTGAGAGAGGTGATGGAGAGGTGAACCAGGTTCCAGTCTCCGCCTTCACATGGAAGTCTTCTGGAGATGTTTGTCTTCCTTTGAAAAGAAAACCAAAGGTCAGCATTTAGGGAATGAGCAAATTGGCTTCAAACACAGCGTGAGGGGGAACAGCAACTTTGTACTGATTTTTGAGACACAATTGGAAGTCAGAGGAAGCAGTTTACTGAAGTGAAGTTGACCATACTCCCTCCCCTGTCTCCCTGTTGTTGGTTTTTGGTGCCATCCAGTCGGTTCTGGCTCAAGGTGCCCCCCTTGTGGCACAGAGTAGAACTGCCCTAGAGAGCTTTCTTGGCTGTAATGGGAACAGAAGCAGATTGCCAGGTCTTTCTTCCACGGCACCACAGGGACAGCTCCCTGATCTCACCTTCACATTAGCAATATACCCAGGTGTGGTCCTGGTCATAGTTGTAAGACGTGGCACACCATAAAAAGTTCTCCTTTGATCCTTTGGTTGTGCAGTTGAAATAATTCTTGTTCTTATAGTTGAATGGGAAGTGACAGGGAGGGCCAAAAACCAGTGAGGTGATTCCTATTGGGAGAAGAATTGAATTAGACAGACTGCTTCTTTGTAACAGATGATCAAACCCAGCAGAGATGTAAAGTACCATGGAATAGATTTGGTGTCAGAATAGGATAAAGAAGGTTGAGGGGTAGAGGCATGTCCGACCTCTGCCTCACAGGAATCAGCCTTCTGCATATTTTGAATTTGATTCTCCTTCCCCCTTGTGAACCACCATGGTTCCTTGTCTTTATGAAAGAGAAGAAACAGACACAGAAGGAAGATGGCCACGTGACAACTGGAGTGATTCAAGGAATGCGAAGGATCATCACCAGAAATAGGACAGAGGCATGGAACAAATTCTCTGCTCAGAGCCTTCAGAAGACATCAGTGGGGCTGACACCTGACTTAGATTTCTTGCCTTGAACTGTGAGACAAGACAAAGCATTTCTGTTATTTTTTAAGTCACATGATTTGTGGTGTTTTGTGATGGCAGCCCTGGGACACTTGTACACTGAGTCAATGAATGGATTATCTGCCCCAGCCAGCTCTGGAACCCTCTCCCAGTTTACTGGTATCTGCACAGATGCTCCACTCTCCATCCTTGTCCATATTCTCTGTGGTGGGGCACCAGAGGTGGTTTTCATTGTCAATGCACTCAGTGATGAGGTCGTTTCTGTAGGTGGAGGGGAAAATGCAGGGCTTGCTGAAAGAATTTCCCCCGTATTCTGAAAACGAGCACAGACAAATGTCAGATCAGGAAAGGAAGGTGAGATGGGCTTCCATTCATTTCACACAGACTCTGTGCCAGACATGATCCCATTAAAGGCAATACTTCCTTGAAACTCCCCTTATTTCCATTTTGTAGTTTGGTGTCTATTGTGTCTGTTTCTATGTTCTCAAACCCCATAAGGTATGTTTTCAAAATACCTATATTTTTATGAGGAGGATTCAAGATGTTTGTGGGAAATGGAAGGAAAAGATAATGGATGTTTTTCATGAGCTTTTTGAAGCACCTCATACGTCTACCCTTGGAAAGCTCTCTGTTGTTAAATATGTTGTTGTTACGTGCTCTTGGGTCAATTTCAACTCATGATCGACGCCATGTGACAGAGTAGAACCTCCCCATAAAATTGTCTAAGTGCTTCAAGCTCACCAGCTGCTCCTTGGAACCCCTATACAGGGTCGCTATGGGTCGGATTCGACTCAAGAGTACTTTACAACAACAACAACAACTATCTTTATGAACACAGATCTCCAGGACCTTTGAGTGGGTTTGAAACTTCAGTCGAGCGCTTAACTATCGGTAACCCAATATTTAACTGTTGCACCAACATTAACTAGACCACGTCCACTGCCTATAATTTGTTAACTATAAGTGATTAGAAAGCTGGTAAGTGCTCAACTGCTAACCAAAAGGTTGGCGGTTCAAACCCACTCAGTGGCTCTGTGGGAGAATGAAGTGTCAATCTACTTCCATAAAGAGTTACAGTTAAATTAACCATGGTGGCATGAGGTGTCTTCCTTTAGCCCTGAGCAATCTCTAATCTACTTTCTGTCTCTATAGATTTCCCTATTCTGGACTTCCCTAAGAATGGGTATGATCTTTTCAGCTGGCTTCTTTTGCTTAGCAAAATGCATTCAGGGTCCATCCATGCTGTTGTCTATGAATTTCTAAGATTGAAATCCTACACAGGAGGCTCTCAGGTCTGACTCAAGAGAAGATGGTGCTTGGACATTCCTATCTCTCATGGTTGCCACAGTGTGATCTCTTAGAAGGCACTTGGTTCCTAGTTCCTTCTCTAGTTGCTTGGCTCTCTACCTTGTTCATCTCCTTCCCCATTCATCCCCCATCCTTGGTCTTCATCAGAGTCCAACATCTCACCATTTGTTTCACAGTATTTCCACTGCTGCTTCTCATCAAAACTGGACGTCACTGAGCACCACAGTTTTCCCAACCAGCTGCCTTCCGTGGTGCAGCTTTTAAAGGACTTTCCGTGATAGACAAAAGGGAAGATGCATCGTGGGTAATCTACAGGGAAAGATGCATCATGGGTAGTTTGTAGGGAAGGTCGCATCATGGATAATTTGTATGGAAAGATGCGTTGTGGGTAATCTGTGTGAGTAATCTGTAAGGAAAATTGTAGGCATATCTGTATGAGTAATTTGTAGGGAAAGTTGTATCATGGGTAATTTATATGGGAAGTTGTACTGTGGGTAATCTATAGAGAAGGCTGCATCTTGGCTAATCAGTAGGGAAAGATGCATTGTGGGCAGTCTGTAGGGAAAGCCATCCTTGAGGGGCTCAACTCAGGTTGTTCCATCAGTTCATCAATCTTCAAAGTCATCAAAGTTCTGGACAGATGTCTGATGTGGACGAGACTGGATATATTCATGTCATCAAACATCTAGTGAATTTTAGTCCGTGCCTAGTGGAATAGTGGTTAAACTTGACTGCTAATCAAAAGATCATTGTTTTTGATCCACCCAGTGGCTGTGATCTTTACACAAGCACACTGCTACATCTTTCTCCTATAGAGCAGCTGGTGGATTGGAACCCCCGTCCTTTCTGTTAGCAGCTCAATGCTTAACCCACTGTGCCATCAGGGATCTTTCCTGAGGATGCTATTTTCAACATGACTGATGTTAGTCTTCATTATTCACATTCAACATTTGGCCTTCCAGAGATTTGAATGCACACACCCGTATTTATCATTTGTCTAAATATTACACTATATACACTTCATACATACTCTTTTGCATCCATCATTTTAAGAACTCTCCTGATTGGGGACATATGACGCCTCTTACCTTCCTTTTCACAGTGCTTCCAATTTCCATCGTAAACTGCTCTGGTTGCACACCAAGGAGATAAGCTATTGGTTTTGATGCATGAAAAATACGTAGTCCCTTTATAGATGAAGGGAAAGACGCATGAGTCTTTACCTGAAAGGACAAAGCACAAACGGGGATTAATCACAATGTATGAGCCAAGAATGAGACCTTATTTGGTTCTTCTGGTGGTCGGAAGGCTACATATGTAAGCTTGGCATCCAGCTTCTTAATGACACATAAAGACAGTGGATTGGAAAAGAGTTTGACCAATGATAAAGGCAACCAAGGCAAACTGCCTCCAAGCCATTGTTTTTCAGAATGAGGAATGTGTCTGTCTATCACACAAGGATACCTTTTAGTGGATCACAAGATCATGTTAGAAAATGAAGGAGCACAACATTCAATAATTTTGAAACACAGACCTCTCTGGCCAAATCCTTTCCCCCACTTTTGGGGCTAGGACTATGTCTTGTTGATTTTTGTCTTTAAAAATTTGGGTGTGTGTGTTACGATAGACACAGTGTAACATCAATTTGACAATTTCAGCATATACAACTCTGTAACATTGATTACAGTCTTCAAGTTGTGCGGCCTTTCTGAACATCCTTTTCTGAACTGTTTCACCATCAACAAAAACTCAAGTTCCTCATCTAAACTTTTATCTTGTCATTAAACTTCTCAGGGTGGATGGGTTTCAGTGGAGCTTTGAGTCTAAGACAGACTAGGAAGTAGGAGAGGCAGGCTATTTCTGAATGTTTAGCCACTGAAAACCTTATGAATAGCGGTGGTGGTGGTGGTGGTGGTGGTGATGTGCCGTGGAGTCGGTTCCGACTCATCGCAACCCTGTACAGGGTTTCCGAGGCTGTAAATCTTTATGGAAGCAGAAAGCCTCCTCTTTCTCCCACGGAACAGCTGGTAGTTTCGAACTGCTGGTCATGAAGATTATAAACCCAATTCATAACCACTACACTACCAGATTACTACCAAGAAAACCCTATGGAGCAATTCTACTCTGTGACACATGGGGGCGCCACAAGTTGGAAATAATTCAAAGGCAACAGGTGACTCTTAATAGGTAGGTGAGATTGGAAGAGTCACTCCTCCATCTCTGAGCCCCACCATGGGTCAAGGATTTCATTTTATTTGCAGTTACAATCAAGACCATGGAAGCAGCAATCAAGAAATTAAACAAAAAATTGTATGGGTCATATCTGCTGCAAAAGACTTCTGTGAATTGTTAAAGGGCAAAGATATCACCTTATGACTGAGATGCACCTGACCCAAGCCATGATGTTTCCACTCCTTTCCTATGCACGTGAAAGCGGGACATCGTAGAAGACTGAAGATGAGTTGATACCTTTAAACTATGGTCTTGGAAGAAGTATATTCCTCAAAGCATGCTCCTTAGAATCCAGGATGGCAAGATTTCATCCCACATACTTTGGACGTGTTATCAGGAGGGACTAATCCTTGGAGAGGGATCGCACACTTGGTAAAGTAGAGGGTCAGTTCAAAGAAGCAGATCCTCAACTAGATGGATTAACACAGCGGCTGTAACAATGGTCCCAACACAGCAAAGATGGTGAGGCTGGCAGAGGACCAGGTCAGTTTTTGTTTTGTTGTACATAGGAGTTCATAAGAGTCTAAACCAATTCAACGGCACCTAACAGTAACAATGGGGTTGATACATTTAGGAATCCATCAGTAACATATCATATTCCACCTCTATGCCTCTCAAAAGAGTCCTAGTATGGCGCTGTGGGTTAATGCACTGGACTGCAAAGTAGGTTTCAACCACAAGGTCGGTGGTTCAAGCTCACCAGCCGCTCCTTGGAAACCTTATACAATATATATATATATATATGTTGTTGTTGTTGTTACGTGCCGTCGAGTCGGTTCCGACCCATAGCGACCCTGTACAGGGTTTCCGAGGGTGTAAATCTTTACGGGAGTAGAAAGCCTCATCTTTCTCCCGCGGAGCAGCTGGTAGTTTCGAACCGCTGACCTTTAGGTTCGCAGCCCGATTCGTAACCACTACGCTACCAGAGCTCATATATATGTATATATAAAACAAACGAAGCACTGCCTGATCCTACACTGTCCTCACAATTGTTCCCTTTGAGCCCATTGCTGCTGCCCCAGTGCCAATCCATCTCCTTGAGAGTCTTCCTCTTTTTCGCTGACCCTTCTCTTTACAAAGCATGATGGTCCCTCCTGAGAAGATGGCTGAAATATGGGAGACAAAGTCTGGCCATCCTGGCTTTTAAGGCGCATTCTGTCTGTATTTCTTCCAGCACAGATTTGTTTGTTCTTCTGGCAGTCCATAGAACTTTTAATATTCTTCTATAACACCATAACTCAAATGCATGAATTCTTCTATGGTCTTCCTTATTCATTGTCCGGCTTTCACATGTCTATGTTGTTGTTAAGTGCCTTCAAGTGAGGTTCTTCTAAATACCATGGCTTAAGTCAGGCACCTTAGTCCTCAAACTGACTTCTTTACTCTAGAGTTAGGAGAGTCTATAAAGGAGCCTTGTTGGCACTGGAGGATACGCACTGGACTGCTAACTTCAAAGTTGGCAGTTCATCCCTTAAACAAATAATAAATAAGGGGGAATCTGTTGCAGACCGTACAGACCCGGTCAGGAGTTCGAGGCCCTGTGGGTCCAAGCGTTGCAGACCATCCAAACCATAGGTTCTGAGGATCAGACTTTAGCCACCTAGCAGACATAGCAAACTGTCCCTCATCTGATTATTCGGTTATGCTTGTTAGTAATTCCATACATGAGCCCTGGATACCCACAGACAAATGTAAAAACCTTCCCTAAAAGCCGAGACTGTAAATTCCAAAAAGGCAAAGTTTTTCCCCCCCCAAAAAACAAAACAAACAAACAAACAAAAAAGCTAAAGAGGATAGAGAGAAACACTGTTAACTGATGGTATATATGGAGGGGATTATAATCAATGTAATGAAACAAGTTATATGAATGGTTGAATGTGAAACTGATGATGTGCCCTGTAAACTTTCACTCAATCCACAATAAAAACCTTGAATTAAAAAAAAAAAAGTTGGCAGTTCAAACCCACCAGCAGCTCTGAGGGAGAAAGCTGAAGGTTTCTGCTTGAGTAAAGGTTTACAGCATCAGAAACCTCTAGATAGAGTCACTATGAGTCCAAATTTACTGGATAACACTGGTTTTTGTTGTTGTTCTGATACACACATCATCCCATAAAGATTACAGTCATGAAAACTCTGTGAGAAAGTTCTATTCCCTGCTTTCTCTCTATTGGATCCCTGGTGGTGCAAAGGTTAAGCACTTGACTGCTAACCAGGAAGTCATGGTTCGAGCCCACTCAGGGCAGGAGAAAGGCCTGTTCATCTGCTCTTATAGAGAGCACAGGCTAGAAAACCGTAGAAGCAGTTCTCCTCTGTCACATGGGGTGGTTATGAGTTGAAATGGACTCATCAAATGGATATATTAAGAAGGGAAAGGAGGCATCCTATTTGGGATCTAAAGGCTCAGTTCACTGGAATTCTGTAGGCCCCTTCTTAATGAACTTGGAGTCCCTGAGTGGTGCAAATAATCAAGCCCTTGATTGTTGACTGAAAGGTTGGTATTTCAAACCTACCCAGAGATGCCTTGGAAGAAAAGGGTCTGGCAATTGAGTGTAGTTCTGCTCTGCAACACAAGTGGGTCAGCATGAGTTGAAATCAACTACACAGCAACTTCTTGTTTTGTTTTGTTTTAATTAGCATAGTCACATCCCCTTAGACTCCTGGTGTGGTGTTATAGGATAAGCACTGGACTGATAGCCATGAGGTCGGTGGTTCAAGCCCATCAGCCACTCCTCAGAAACCCTATACAGGGTCACTATGAGTCAGAACCGATCAACTTCCCTTAACAACAACAACGTAGTCACAACCCCTTACCCTGGGTTGAATATTATGCAAGGGACTCATCTCATTGGTACAATTTACTCTTCAAAATGACCATGGGAGGTAAAGGCTACTAGGCCCCTTTCACAGCCTGGGAACTGATTTCAAGTCAGGGTCAATCTGGAAATAAATGGTAGATCCAGGGTCTAAGCCCTAGGTTTGTCTAAGATTTTTATTGAATGGTCTCACTGTTTGCCTCCAAGACTCATTTACTCCCCCCATTCTTTTGCTATTCCTAAATTCTCCCCTAAGATTCTGGTGGCACAATGGCTGCAAACCAAAAGGTTGGCGTTTTCAGCCCACCAACCCCACCCACCACAGGAGAAAGATGTAGCAGTCTGCTTCCATGAAGGCTCATGGCCTTGGAAACCCTATGGGGCGGTGCTACTCTGCTCTTTCGGGTCACTATGAGTCGCTATGAGATTCAAAGGCAGGGGGTTTGGTTTTGGATTGAAAATCCTCCCTGTGGTTGCCCACTGTACTCACCTCCATTTGTCTCAGAGGTATAGAGGAGAAAGGCAGTCCATCCCAATAGGTAACTGGACCACCGCTTCATTGTGGCTGGCCGCTTCTCTCTGTATTGAAGGTAGACAATAATTTGGCACCCTACATCCTTGTCCGACTAACTCCACATATGAGATCATGCATGTCAA